AGGTCTTTAGAGAGGGACATCATGCTGGGTAGAGTAGAGGGACAGCTCAGGAGGGGAAGACCCTCTATGAGATGGATTGATTCAGTGACTGGGGTAATCAGGATGGGAGTGTCAGAGACAGTGCGATTGGCACAGGATAGAGCACGGTTTAGGGCTGTTGTACATAGGGTCGCTATGAGTCGTAAATGACTCGACGGCACATAACAGCAACAACAACAACGTCTGAAGGCAGCAGTGGGCTCCAGTATGTCAGAGATGGTGAGGATGGCACAGGATGGGACAGGGTTCAAATCTATTGTTCACAGATTTGCTCTAAGTTGTATGAGATTCAATGGCATCTAACAACAACATTAAGCATGTGCACTACTAACTTGAGGCTTCAAAATCATCAGTGGATGTTTTCAAAGCATCAGTAGAAACTCTGTGGAGAGTGACTATGAGTTGGAATCGACACAGTGGCAATGAAGAAGGTTATTTAAGATAAGAATGCTTAAAATTCAGAGACCAGGTAATTTAGTAAAGTGTTTTATTCAGACTACCTGGAAGTCCAAACTAACAAGAAGAGATGAAAGCTTCAAAGTTTCCAAACTGATGGAGTGTTAACCAACATGTGGCAAAATATTTAACACAAATATTAATTATGGACAATTTGAAGTCATATAGTGTCCATCAGTCTTTGTTTCTCTTTCTTATGTTATATATTTAATGGGAGAGAGGTTAGGAAAATCTCATTTGGCTGTTTGCATCAATGTAGTTTTTCCTCATGGGCTGTTTCCTGGTGGGATTACAAAGTAGTTCCAGTCCTGTTCCTTAAGTCTGTTTTAAAGCCAAACAAGTATGTAAAACAAAAGTGGTTATTATTGTTATCCGTCATTCAACTATGATTCATAGCAACTTTATGAACAATGACTCTGAACCTTGTCCTATCATGAACCAAACCCATCATCTCTGACACATTGCTATAGACACTGTGTCATTCCATTTTATCAAGTTTCTTCTCTTGCACTGACCCTACACTTTTCCAGCATGACGCTCTTCTCCAAGGACTCGTCCCTCCTCATGACATGCCCAAAATATATGAGACAGAGTTTTATCATTCTTACATCCAAGGAACATGCTGATTCCACCCTCTCCAGGAGAGATATTTGTTCTCTTGGCAGTCAGGGGAATATTCATCACTCTTCTCCAGCACCACAACAAAAAGGCCTGAATTCTTCTGTCATCCTTAACCATTGTCCAGCATTCAGACGTATAGGAAGCAATTTAAAAGATCATGGCTTACATCAGGTACACCTTAGTCTTCAGACTGATATCACTTCTCTTTAGCACTCTGGAGAGGTCCTTGACAGCACATTTGCCCAATGCAACTTGTCTTTTGACTTTACGACTGTGCTGCAACCCTGAATGAATGTAGTTAGAATCTGCCAGGTGCTCCGTGGGAGAAATAATCTCCTCCTACGCAATTGACTACTTATGAAAACCTGCTGGAGGGTCAGCTAGCTATGGGTTGGTTCTGACTCAAGGGTACTTAACAGCAACAACAGTTCCAAGGGTAATACTTATAGATCCAAATAAAATGAAATTGATGTTTTAAAAAAATTTTAATTATTAATTTCAATGAAAATTTCCAGAGACTTTGGATTTCCATTCATTCATTGTTGCACTTTTCTTCCCTCCCCACCGCAGCCCCCATAAAATGACATTGTTAACCACTTCCGTCTTTGTTCCATCTATCACGATGCTGCCTATTGGCCAGGTAGTGAGGATTTTGTTACAGTCACTGTGTCAATACACTTTGTTGAGTGAGTGTCTTCTCATCTGCTGACCCTCCAACCTTTCCAAATATCATGTCCTTTACTGAGGACCATTCCCCTCCTAACAACATGCCCATTTAAAATGACTCTTCACTATCCTTGACTACAAGGAGCATCCTAGTTGCATCTTCTCCAAGACATTTGTTTGTTCTTTTGGTAGTCCATGAGTTGTTGTGTACTTTTCTCCAAAACCATAGTTTGAAGGCAGTGATTCTTGTGTCATCGTCCTTCATTGTTTAGCTTTCAAATGCATGTCAAGTAATTGCAAAGACCATGACTTGGATCAGATACACCTTCGTGTGTCTACATACATACATGAATAAATAATGGTTTAAAGGTCTTAAGATCTAGTATTTCTCATTTCAAAGAGTAACGGATTCACCATTATATAAAACAACAGAATTCTTCTGCATTTTGGAGATGTCCTTGACAGCAGATTTTCCCAATCCCACATCAAATAGGTAGGTATACAAATTGTATCTAATGTCAGTTAGTCAAAGGTTTGTTGGGCAATCTCCTCTCATGCACTTGCAGCTTCGGAAAACTCACTGGAGGGTCAGCTAGTCAGTTCAGATCCCTCAGCAATGAACAACAATTATTCATTGCCCTCAAGTCGAAACCAACCCATAGTTGATCCTCCAATGTGTTTTCCAAGGCTGTAAGTCACAGAGGAGGGAGCTTTGAAAGCTAAGCAGGAAGGAGCTACACTGCCAACCCAAAGGCAAGTGGTTTGAATCCATCAGCCGCTCTGCAGGAGAAAGATAGGCAGTCTCCTTCTATGTGATTTACAGCCTCTGAAAACTCCATGGAGGATCAATTCTGACTTGAAAGTACATAATAGCAATGAATCACCTAGAAAAATATTGCCTCCTTCTCAGGGGCTCAGAGAGAAGGAAAATTATTCCATGAGTTCTGACATATGTATATGTTTTAATTGAAATCACAGAAGGCAAAGGAAGAGAACATGGGACAGAAAATAGCTGAAGAAATAATGGACAAACATTTACTTAATTTTGTGAAAAATATGAACCAGAGATCCAAGAAACACAACAAACTCCAGCAGGAAAAATGCTTCTCACAAAGTAATCTTTGTTGAGATGGTATAAAAGCAGAGGCTCGGTCTGCAGTAATACAATTGTATTATTATTACTCACAGTCTAAACAGTCAAAAGTCAACTTTTTGCCACATTGAGTTTTTCATGAAACTAAAATATTACATTTTACAAAGCTTATATGCAAACGAAAATGACTAATCACATTCATAAATATGCAAACATCTTCGTATAATAATATAAAAAAGCTACACTACATTTGAGACAAAATGATAAAGCTAGACTTCTTTAAAGTTCAAGAATGATTTTATTTAGGAAATTTGTTTATTAGGGAACACAGTAACACAACAGGAATATTACATTGATAGATTATGAAATTTAACAGTCTAAAACATTATTTTAAAGCAAAACAATAGAATTATTTGCAAGAGCCTCAGGAAAAAACTTCCTATTTATAATACCACTCTTTAATGACTAAGGTTAATACAAGGCTTTTCTTTAATAAAAAAGAATCAATCATGGTACCTGAGTTTTAAACACATTTCACTTGCTCATGGCAAACATTATTATAAAGATGAACTGTCCAAACCATCCAACAGCTCTTTTTAGCTCGTGTGATGCTGTGTCTAAACAGCTTTAAGAGAAATAAAGAGCAAACAATTACATATATTTAAGGCTTCATGTTTTCGATACTCAATTATTTTTTATTTTTTTAAATTTTTTTTTCGATACTCAATTCTACAATATATTTTAACCCAGTAAATGATACTATTACTGGTTAATATGTAAAACTAGCTAGAAATCATGATTCTTAAACACATACACACTTCGGCACACTTCTTGAAACTTAGGTGATGGCTATCTCCATCTCAAATACAGTTTTAAAAAACAAGTCTGTAGGTGAATTGTCAACATATTGAGGAACACAGCCAAACACAAAGGGTATGGTTTTAAAGACTGAGTTCAGAATACGAAGCAATTATTTCTACCCTATTTGAATAGATTTGTTCTTTATTTAAAGTCTTGGACATAAATTATGTGGAATATTAGCAGCATACATGCACGGGACCCAGTAAGAATGGCACTTGATTATGTGACTTAAAGAAAAAAATATCTTTCTCAGGATTCCTGTTTGGGGCTCAAATTATATGGTCTTAGGGGTTTTTGTGACATTTTGGAATCTTTAGTATTTTCTACATAGTTTTGTGTGTGTGTGTGTGTGTGTGTTTTTAAAACACCTTTAAAATTTGAAAGAATAAGTAAAAGAAAACTACTTACAATGATCAAATATATTAATCTTATAAATAGAGCAAATCCAATTCACTTACTGGACAAAGTTACATTCTGAAACATCCAATTCTAATTAAATTCATCTCTGTGGCAAACAATTCATTATTCTCATTAGGCAATCAATGTTACCTTCAATAAGGCAATTCCCACTTAGCCTTTGGCAATAACTTAAATTTAACTCATTGAAAAGTTCTAAGCCTCATTTCTAGGCCTCAATTATGTAAAAGGATATCATTTCCATGGCAGGTAGTTAAATCTGAAATACAGAAGCACTAAAAAAATATGAGCTCTTAAATATTATCTAACTAATGGGCTGCCCCTTCTCACCTGTCCATATTTAGTGATATTGGACAATGAAATGTAAATGGAAAAAATGAAATTATGAAGTTAAAGGTACAAAATACTGCTATGCTCCTTAGACTTTTAATGCTCATTTCCAAAATAAGAATGGATTAAAGATAACAGAATATAATTCCTTTTCTTCTTCAGAAGAAAGTAGATAAAAAGTATTGCTACTTCTAAAACTATTTACGGTTTTGATTAATCCTTAACAATTAAAAAGAAAGACGATTACAATCATCTGGATATTCATGTTACATTAGAAAATCCATAAAAATAAGCTATATCCCACTAGCAAACCAACTGGTAAAAATACAATATAATACAAAAGAAAATGAAGTAATATACATATGTGAATAAAATCCATTTTAATAAGAAAATGTAACAATTATATTTTTTAAAAGGCATTCCATCTTAAGCTTCATTATTACTTAACAAGTACGTTTAAAATACTATCAATAAACATGTTTACAATTTGAGTTTTCCTCATTAAGAACATCCACTGTCAGTCATCTTTTTTGTCTGAGGTACTTTCTTCATGGTTTTCAGGACTGACTTTATTACTTGCTACCGAAGGGATCTCCTGGACTTCCGGCATTGAAAATACATGGCATGTCTGGAGGTCTAAGTAGGTGGTAAATATTTTAGCATATTCAGGATGTTTCAGGGCAAAGCTTTTAAATTCCTCTGGAAAAGGAGGAAAAAGAACACACCATAAAATTTAGTAAATTGGGAAGAATCAATCCAGATGAACATATCACTTTAACCATTCAACTACAGTCATTTAACTTTGATGGTACATTCTGTGATATAAGACGCATTATTTAGACATTGTGTTAACACCATGTTAAGTACAGGAATGGATTTTTCCTGTTCATTTTCAAATCACATAAGCATGAAAGTCAGAAGTTAGAAACAATTCCTATCTAACATAAATTAGTCAAATGTTTATCTTCATATACCTTTTTTAGTGTACTTTGCCACTATGCATAAAAATTAAAATAGTAATTACAGGAACACTAAAACATTTTGAATGTAGTTCTAAAGTGATAACAGTAACATCTTGATGTACATAAAAAATTGTGTCCATTTGTTATTATGAACCATTGTACGCCAACTCAAAATTGTAGAACAATGGAATTTATGGAGATTGGAACCACGGATGTATATATGCGGTCGGAAGTTATCTAAATGGACAGTACGTGGCACATGCAACATTCTTACTTGATTTACAATTACAGTTGGCAGTAATACAAATTGTACAGCCACTTTGGCAGATCATTCTTCCGGTATATATTTAGGATGATGATCTATACATACTCTATGACTCTTTTACTCCAAGGTATAAATCTAGAGATATGACTACATGCTATAATCCAGGACACATGCATACGGTCCCTTACTAAGCACCTTGTACTTGTCTACTGAGTGTTATTCATAGTTGTTGTTGTTGTTGTTGTTATGTGCCGTCAAGTCATTTGCGACTCATAGCGACCCTATGTACAACAGCCCTAAACCATGCTCTATCCTGTGCCAATCGCACTGCCCCTGACACACCCAGTCACTGAATCAATCCACCTCATAGAGGGTCTTCCCCTCCTGTGCTGTCCCTCTACCCTACCAAGCATGATGTCCCTCTCCAAGGACCTGTCTCTCCTTACAACATGTCCAAAGTATGTCAGACGAAGCCCCAGAATTTTTGCCTCCAAGGAGTAGCATGATTTAACCCTCTCCAGGATGAATCTGTTCGTTTTCTTGGCAGTCCATGGAACATTCAATACTCTTCTCCAGCACCACAGCTCAAAAGCATCCACTCTCCTTCTGTCCTCCCTAGTCACTGTCCAACTCTCTGATGCATAACAAGTGATTGCAAAGACCATAACCTGTATCAGAAGCACCTTAGTCTCCAGAGAGACACCTTGCTCTTAAAAAAATTGGAACATATACAAATGTTTTTGAATAGCAGAAGTGGATAGATAAATGATGATGTTTTACAATTACATTGTTGTTGTTGTTGTGTACCGAGTGTGAACCAACGCATAGCTGATCCTCCAGAGGGTTTTCAGAGGCAGTTATCTGCACAGAAGGAGTCTGTCCATCATCCCATGGAGCAGCTGGAGAACTTGAACCATGTGTCATCAGAATTGCAGTGCAGCTTCTTGCCACTAAAGCCACCAGTGCTCCCTAATATAATTCTATACGACAACAGAAATGAATGAACATCTGTGTTTCAATAATGTGGCTGAATCTCAAAGTGATAATATTAACTACAGAAAGCTAGTTAATCTGCTTCCTGGAAACTCTATGGTGTGTAGCTTTCCTCTTCTTAAAGGAGGCTGCTATCGAATGTTAGTATATACTCTCGTTGAGTACCATCAAGTTGGAACTGACTCGGAACTGGTGGGTTTTCAGAGGCAGTAAGTCACATGGGAGGAAACTGCCCATCCTTCTCCTGTGAAGCAGCTAGTGGATTTGAACCACGCATCTTCGGTTTGGCAGCACAGTTCCTTACCACCAGGTCACCAGAGCTCCCTTGATGGCTCACGGTATGGCCTTTTTCTAGTGATGAAGTCATCAGATTCATCCCAATTCATTCTTTGCCATTTAATAGGCACTTCATAGTTCTAAACAGAACAAGCTCTTCATCTCTTTCACCTTAGTTTCAACAATAAAGGTTCAGCAGCAGGTGTCTATCTCACCAATGGAGAGATCAAGGACCTCAGTGACGTCTATGGTCAGTCACCATGAGAACTGATTAATGAACTCAAGAGTTTTATTTTCAAGACTTGTGTATGTTCAAAAAACCAAGGGTCCTGTTTTCTTCTGGGATGTTAGTGCATTAGTGAGTAACTGGTTTCTAGAAGTTTCCTGTGAAGTGGCTATAAGTATCATTTGGGCATTGATAAATGTAAAATATCACATGTAAACAAATCACCACATTCATGGTGCAGGTCAATATCTTTTTAAAAAGAAATGTATATAAAGTGCATATTTCACTGCCTCTAACATCCCTCCATATCACCAAAGGTGGACTTGCATATTACAGTAGGTGAAGGAGATATTCTGTATATTATGAAAAGAACTGGACTCAAAAAGGCAAAGGAGAACTCCATTTAAAAATTATTATTCATTTGTGTATACAATTGTAACTATCTAGAAAAAATTTGTATGTGATTTTTTTTCTTTTTTGTATGTGATCTTAATGATGTTGTTGTTGTTATTGAGTGAGAACCAACCCACAGCTGACCCTTGGGGGTTTTTCCAAAGCAGTTACTCACACGGGAGGAGACAGCCCACCCTTCTCCCGTGACTATCTAGAAATAATTTTGAGTCTTCGTTTTCACTGAAATAGTTTAAGATAGTTTTCCAAAATTTGGAAGTTCAGAATAACAATGTCTCACTAAAGAAAGGAAACATATCAGAACAAGAATTTGTTCTCATGAGCTTTATGACTCACTAATTTTATCCCTATATATTCTTCATTTCCTAATTTGTAATTTTTTTAAAAAGTGAACTCAACAGAGTAAATGTCATAGGGATCTACCTAAAATAGATTAATAAAGGGCAGTCAACACACTAGGAATTAAAAACAGAGAGCAAAGAAAGCATGCAATCTAATTTCCCCATTCCGTGAAAGTTAACAAGCTGAAACTCTCTGAAAACCATGAACAAAAAATGTCATTGAAGAGAAATCCCCTTCAGTCTGTGAGAAAAGATGGGGAACAACAGGCCAATGAGATATCAGGGACTGTATCAGAGTTAAAGCGAAGCCTCTCCACTGAGGTCATACTTAACAATATGACTGCAATGTGAATGAATAAAACTGATTCTTCAGTCATATGGACTTGTTTGCATGTGTGCCTTGAAACCAGCAGGAGACGGGTTGATCACTGATGGATGTAACTGCTGCTTTGATGTCAAGTTTTCCTCCTTAATAGTCCTCACCTCACGGGCAACTACAGATGTGACATAAATGATGAATGTGAAAGCTCACACAACCACTCAATGAATGATGCTGTTATTATTACTATTAAGTGGTATCTTTCCACATCCCTCTACTGTGATTACAAGCCAGCTTAGTTAACGTGTTTGGTTGAGGCCAGTCACACTTAAAGGAGAAAAGAAATGCCTCCTAAGGAAGGCTGTGAATCTGAGGTAAACTTGAGGTAAAAAATAACTCGACTCTCTTGGGTTATTCTTTTTGCTCTACTATCCTCTAGCTGGACAACTGGTAAGTAACTTCAACTATTTAGATTTCAGTAAAATAATGAAAATTAAGAATACTGACTAAATAGGCTTTCTGGATGCAGTAAATGTGTTAATCCTTATGAAAAATGCTTAGAAGACTGCTAGGCAAGTCCTCAATAATTAGCTACTAGTATTAATATCTGGTGGCTTAAAAAGCGCTGTGTTGCCAATCCAAAGGCATGCGATTCGACCCACCAGCTGCTAAGCGGGGGAAAGATTATCAGGCTCCTCATAAGGAGGTTTATAGCCTCTGAAAATCTGCTGGAGGGTCAGTTATGAGTCACAACTCCACGGCACGTAACAACAACACTATCACAGGAGCCCTGGTGGTATAGGGGTAACGTGTTGAGATGTTAACTCTCAGGTCACAGTTGGAATGCAAAAGCCACTCCACAGTAGAAATATGAGAATTCTCCTCCTAGAAAGATTTACAGCCTGAGAGACTCAATGGAAGGTGACGATGAGTCAGAATTGACTAGACAGCAATGAGCTGTATTACTAGCAATGAAAGAATGAACGGACATGACTTGGAGAAGGTGAAGCCAGTGTGCTTCCTGGAGGCAACAATGACGATTTGTCTCACATACTTTGGACGTGTTGTTATAAGCGGTTCTTTCTTGGAAAAGGACATGATGCTCGGAAAGGTCAGTGAGATGGACTGACTCAGTGACTGAAACAATGAGCTCAAGTATGTCAAAACTGATGAAGACGGTGCAGGGTAGGATAGAGTTTAGATCTGTTGTTCATAGGGTCACATGAGTTGTACTCGGCCTGATGGCACAAACAGGTCTGTCCTAGAGAGTGTGAAACCAGGCTGCTCCTTGGAGGCAAGGACTGTGAAGCTCCGTCTCACATACTTTGGGCATGTTGCCAGGAGAGAACAGTCCCTTCTGAAGGATATTATGCTTGGAAGGGTGGAGGGACAGCACAAGAGAGGAAGACCCTGGATGAGATGGATTGACTCAGTGACTGGGGTAATGTGTATGTCAGTGACAATGAAATTGGCTCAAGTTAGAGTAGGGTTCAGAGTTGTTGCACACAGGATCACTAGGAGTCGCAAGCACATAACAATAGGGAGTCCTGTTGGCCTAGTGGTAAGAAGCTGTGCTGCAATCCCAAAGGCATGAGGTTCAAATCCACCGCTGCTTTGAGAAAGAGGGACAGCTGTCTTCTCCCATGCAATGAACTGCCTTGGAAAACCCACTAGGGTGTCAGTTATGAGCGGGTTCCAGCTTGACGGCACACTACAGCAACAATAAGAGTCGCATGAAGAGTTTCGCCGCTAATTCAAAGATGACACTCTGGTAGTTGAATCTACCAGCAGCTACAAGAAAGAAAGATGGGCTGTCTCCTTCTGTACTAGTGATAACCTCCTGAAAAACCTGCTGGAGGGTCAGCTATGAGTTGGTTCTGATTTTATGGCAATGAGGAATGAGAATGCTATTACTACTGTCCCCTATTATTAATAGAATTGGTTGAGAAAAACACTACTTTTTGATGAAGGTTAATCCAAAGTCAGGATATCTTTGCAAACAAAATCAGAAGGCCAAATTGGCTACTCACCATAAGAAATGGAATCCCCTTGGGCGATTTCCTTGAAGAGACCAGAAACATCAAGGTCAGGAACTCCAAGGGAAGCCTGCAGAATGGTGGAAAATTCTTCCTCTGTTATGAAGCCATCCTCATCAACATCAAAGAGCTGAGGGGAAAGAAAAGAAAATTTAGGAAATAGCTCCTGCAGAGCAATAATTGCATAGAAAATAAACCCTTTAATATCGCCAGCATTTGTTGTTCAAGGAAACAATAAATGCTTGCATCTGTAAAACAAAACAAAACATGCACAGCATTTACAGCGTGTGATGGAAAAGACTGCAGCTGTGTGTTATTCAGAATAGCAAGAACATGCAAATGTGGTACATTCACAGGATGGAATACTATGCAGCACTCAGGAGCAATGATTTCATAAGATAGTACGTAACACGGGAGAGGCTAGACAACGTCGTGCTGAATTAACTCAGTCTCATAAGGAAAAATACTGCAAAAGAGCATTATTGTAAAAATTGAAGGATAACTAATAAGATGGTATAAATGTCCAAAGAGGTAAAGGGAGGGGGCTCTGGGAACAGAGTATGGGAGAGTGGGGAAAATCACACGGTTACAGAGTTTGGTGGGAAAACTGGATTTTAGGAAGAGCCAGTGGAATCTGAAAAAGACAGAGTAATAGTGCGCATAGATTAATGGTGATTAATTTTATAATTATTA